AAAGATGAAAACAAAGCCTGAAGACTCTAGGGAGCACACACGAGTGCCATATCCCTCATCCCACAGATGAGGCATGAAGACAAGACAGAGAGCAGCGAGCACTCAGTACCGGGAGCACTGACTCCTCTGAACCTCAGGGTCCCCTTCCTCCCCACAGCTCCTTCTACATAGGTTCTCTCTCAGGCTTCCTGCCCTGCTCCACTGTCTGTCAGTCTAGCTGCCCTTCAAATCCCTTCCTGGGGTGAGGAAAGACATCAGGCTGGGATGTCCTGACTCCCACAGTGCAGTGCGCCCGCCTGTCCCTATGCTTCTCTTAGAACCGCACACACGGCAACCAGCATGACATGGAGTAAGAAGAGTAAGAGGGACATCCACCTTACGCTCAGAGCTCCTTGATACCAATGTGGCCCCCTTGAAACTCTAAGCAAAGCACCCAGCAGAGAGGGGTGCTAACACATTCAGGAGGGCCAGACAGACTCCATCTCTTGGGCCGTAAATGCAGCCCTGAGCCAGAAAGAACTGAGGAGGGCATGGAAGGCCTCTTCTGAGTCTCACCCAGCAGAGGCTGGCCCGGGGCTTACCTTGGGCAGGCTAACAGGAGTCCGGGGCTTGGTCCTAGGGTTCTTGATCAAGAGCCTCTGGTCGAGGGGCAGTAGGTGGTACTTCATGGCTTCGATGAGGAAGTCCTTACAGGTGTTGTTATTCTTTATCAGAGCTTCCTCCTCGACTGTCTGGGGACAGCAGTCCACAGGTGAACCCCTAGCACAGTGTGACCACACTTCCCTAGCCTCTCCCCAGGCTGGGTCATCATTCCCAACCCTCACTTATCCCTTTCTGTACCCCAGACTCCAAAAAAGACCCAAAGAGTTACAAACTAGTGCACAGAGTCTCACTTCTAATCCCTGTTCCACACACAGAATCCCTGATCCTCGGTCTCCTTGTCTATAAGATGGGCGTGTCACAGGAACAGACTCAATAGCTCCAAGGAAGACACCGATGGACACTACAAGGCTTCCAACCTGAGCAGCTCAAGTGGAGAGACGGGATTCACAGAGCCCTCAAACCAGTCATGTACTAAGAAGGTCTGGCCAAGCCTCTCCTAGCCCCATCGGCCATGAGGAACGAACATATGGCCAGGGCCATCATCTTCTGGCAGCTCTGGGGCTGGCAGAAGAGGGATTGAAGAAACAAGGCCTTCGCCTCCGGAGCCCTCTTTTTCCAAGACAAGATCTGGGTTTCTTTCGCCTTCCCAGTAGGAGATGGAACCAGCTTGGGACAAATCATAACGGTTTAGGATTAAAGCAGCAGTTCTCAGGCAGCAGTGCTCAGGCAGCAGTGCTCAGGCAGCTGATGCTCAGGCAGCAGTGCTCAGGCAGCAGTGCTCAGGCAGCAGTGCTCAGGCAGCCGGTCCCAAAAAGCTACGACTTTGTCACAGAATAGCGTGAACGCCTTTTGAATGATGTTTAAAAATGCCTGGTAGAAGCTGAGTAACGGTTTGCAACTGCGAAACCTAAAGGCTGCACATTGTTGAATGCCGGGCGGAACAAAGTTTTCACACTGGCTCATGCACCACCATCAGGATAAACGACTTTAAGTTGCAAGGTCAAATAATGTTAACAAAGCACCCTTTCCTAGAGGAGCTCACCTCAAGAGGCCTGATAAACTCTCCTAAAGGAGAGTTCACATAACCTCTCTCAGGCATTGCCTCTGACCCTCTCTCCATATCAAATCTGACCTTCCTTAGCTCTCTGTGGAACCCAGTCTCTTGGGCGTCCACCCTGGCTATGAAACTGAGTCTGCGCTGGAGGCCACTCCAGTAGGCAGTTTCCAGGGTGACAGTAACACTGGTAACTCTGGTGAGTTGGAATGACATGCGGCCACCAGGTGGCAGTACTCTAGGGGCTTCTGGCACACTCCTAAGTACCTGGTTAAGGTGTCACACAAGAAGACACACAGAGAGCATTTCACTGACCCCTTAGGCCTGAACATCAGGAGCACATACACGGGACTTTACAAATGGGATAAAGGAACCTGTAGCCCCAGATGTAAATTTTCAGCTTGCATTCTCTGAACACTGTCACGGGCCGTACATGGATCATTTCTTTTTGTCCCCACACAGCCCTATCGGGGCTGGTGTTACTTTGACCAGATGAGAGAACTGAGGGTCTGGCAGTCAAGTGTGGTTGGGAGTGACAAGGGCAGAGTGGCACTGCTGGCCTGCTCCTTCTTGCGTGTGAGCCTCTCTCAGGAACCTCTGTGGGCCAGCCAACTGCCTCAGCAACGTTAAAGTCACATATTTGGAAGGTTTGCAAGAGAAGCTAACAAATTTGCTGTACCAAATAAGCCATTCTGTGTGTAAACAAGACAGAGGCTTGCAGAGGTGGAAGCTCACGGAGTTCGTGCTTCAGAGCCAAGTGGGCGTGGATCTCAATCATGACCACCTCGTGCCGGCCAGGAACCCCACATCACCCCCTCCTGCTGGCCGAGGACCCCAGATCAAGCCTAGCCTCCAAGCTTCAAGGCCCAAAATGGAAAGGGAAAAGGGGGCCATAATCAAGAGGTCTCAAAGGGTTGTTATAAGTGAGAAAACACAAGCGCACCCCACAATACTTCATTTTTCTTGTTCTCTTGGAAGACGTAGAACCCTATGCATCTATGAAGAGCCAGTTCTCACAGTCTGATCTGGACCTCAGGCTGCCTAAGAGCACAGCAGAGGAGGAGCCCCGGGGCATTATGAAATGACACTTATTCTCTGTCCTTCCAAGAGAAACCAGCTCACACGGAGCATGTTAGAGGCTCTGTGCTGACCACCTGCCCGGACACTCACAGTCCTTAGTCCTCACAACAGTTCACACTCAACCCAGGGGCCTGATGCCCTCCATTCACACAGACTCGTGACACGCTGCAGGCACACCACACAGCCAGGGTTGCCTCCCCGCTCTCCTCCAGCAAACGCTGAACATGCAAACACTGACCTGGACCAGGTAATCCCTAGGTAAGAGCGGGAGCCGGACATGCTCCATCAGCTTTGCCATGTGGTCTAAGCGAGTCTCCTTCTCATAATTGATCCATGAAATCACGGCTTCAAACACCTAGGAAGAGAAGAGAATGCGTGCAAACATCTACCTCAATTCATAAACCTGGGAGGAAAATAAAATTGACAGTCATCCACACGGGTATTTCATCTTAAGACTTGATGTTTAGGACAAAGCGAAAGTAGAACGGCCGTGAGTACGAGCTGGCCTACTAGAGGACACACACGTAGAGTAAGAAGCCCATCATCCCAGATGTGCAGTCATCATGGCTCATACTAGAGTAAGTTCTGATGCTCATTGAAGGATACAGATGCAGAGTGGTAACTGAAAACAAGATATGTAAAGAATGTCCGAAAGGATCAGAAGTCTTGGGTGCCTGGTTTCCTTCTCTCACTCATTTTCCAGATAATAAGATTGGCCTCTGCCTAAAGCTGGCTCTGATGATGAGCGAGACACAGAACGCCAGAGAACAAAACATCCCCCAGGGACTTCTCTGCTGAGGAGAGATTTCACTTTCATTCAAATCAAAGCTGGGGAATCTGGAATGGAGAGGAGAGACTAGGATTTCTTTTGCACAGGGGTTAAATCCAAATTCAAACCCCACACCATTGTGCACACAGGGACTGGCAGAATCCAGACCTGATGAGGCTGAACCAACCAGTGGTCTTGAAATGAATAAACATAGCTTTGGGGGAGGGAGGGAGGGATGTGGCAAAGCCAATAAAAAAATGGAAATATGCACAAAGCCTTTGATAAGAAAAATACTTCTAAACTGAAAGCTTGCTAAAAAGCTCACTTGAACAGGCAAGAGCTTGTGTCCCATGGAAATATGCACAAAGTCTTTGATAAAAAAAAAATACTTCTATACTGAAAGCTTGCTAAAAAGCTCACTTGAACAGGCAAGAGCTTGTGTCCCAGGTGTTGGCTGTGGTACTATTGTAGTAGGGCTTGTAAGAAGCATCCGAAGACCACTGCTGAGAGAGTGGTTTCTGCTGTTAAAGAGAATAAGACCTGAGCTGGGGAGATGGCTCAGCAGTTAAGATTGCTTGTTCTTCCAAAGGACCCAGGTTCAATTCCCAGCACCTACATGGCAGCTCACAACCATTCATAACTCCCGGGGATCCGATGCCCTCTTTAAAATTAATCACACTGTACACTTACCATGCATATTTCACTGTTCTTCAAACTCTATCTTAACGTCAAACAATCTTACTTTCAAAATACAGTAATGGATCATAGCACAGTAAATAAAAATCAGATCCACGAGCTTATGGACACTTTTGGAAGTGCAGACGGGCTCGCCCATAAAGAAAACCTCTGGCTAGCAAGTGCAGGAGAATGACAGAATTAAGAAAACCGTTTCTGCAAACACCACCCCAGCAACTGGCCAGGGGATGAGAATGTGGTGTGATGTCTTATTCTTTTGTCTCTTTGGCCTTTTTGGGGGGGGCCCCACCACCCAGCTCCCAGATATATCACACACGGAGACTTACTCTTAGTTATGAATGTCTGGCCTTAGCTTGGCTTGTTTCTTGCCAGCTTTCCTTAACTTATATTATCCTGTCTACCTTTTCCCTCTGGGCTTTTCCTGTTCTCTTACTTCTGTAAATCTTACTCTTACTCTGTGGGTGGCCGGGTGGCCGGGTGGCCGGGTGGCCGGGTGGCTGGTGTCTGACCCCTGATATCCTTCCCCTTCTCATTCTCTTGATCTCCTCAGTTCTCCTATTTATCCTCTCTGCCTGCCAGCCCCCCCCCTCCTTTCTCCTGCCTTGATATTGGCTGTTCAGATCTTTAATAAAGATCAGGTGTTTTAGACAGGCAAAGTAACACAGAGTTAAACAAATGCTCACACACCTTAAAACAATATTCTACTACTAACATCAAAAGTTGTCTCGGAACAAGAATTCCCTTCTCAGCATTGTGCCACAGGTGACATTCCTTACCCAGCATGCAACACTCTCCCTGACAGATACAACCTTAGACAGGGATCAAGTTTACTAAATTTACTACCATTAACAGGACAACCTGTATTTTAGGGGGGGTAGTTTTTTTTGTTTGCTTGCTTTTGTTTTTTTGAGATGGGGTCTCTCTGTGTAGTCCTGGCTGTCCTGAGTAGACCTTGAACTACAGAGATTCTCCCACCTCTGCCTCCCGAGTGCTGGGATTAATGGCATGTGCACTAATGCAACCGGTCATTAAACCTGTATTTTTTTTTTAAGATTTATTTTATTTGTTTGCCAGACAAATTCAGTAACTACAGAGGGCAGAGGAGGGCATCACTTCCCCTGGGACTGGAGTTGCAGATAGTTGTGAGCCAGCAGCTGGGTGTTGGGACTCAAACCTGGGTCCTCTGCAAGAGCACTCAGTGTTCTTAACCACTGAGCATCTCTCCAGCCAAGAACTTTGTTTTTATTTTTATTTTGGTTTTTCAAGACAGGGTTTCTCTGTGTAGCTATGGAGCCTATCCTGGCACTCACTCTGGAGACCAAGCTGGCCTCAAACTCACAGAGATCCGCCTGCCTCTGCCTCCCGAGTGCTGGGATTAAAGGCGTGTGCCACCAACGCCCGGCAAGAACTTCGTTTTCAAAAACAGAATAAAGCAGAACTAAAGAAAATGAGCAGTATATGTGTACAGTATTTTTCTTGTTTCTGAATTGATAAGTTATATATTAATTAACCATAAACACATGAATATCTTAGAAATCTTCCTTGCATCTCTTAAAAGACGTAAACTCAATAGTTTTGTCCCTTAGGCCCAGCAGTGTGTCCTGGTACATACACTCACTCAAACACTCTTGTCAGAGGAAGCCTAGGAGGAGGCCGTGACCCCTGGTCAGGCTAATGTGGACAGCCGGGCTGGGAAGGAGGGGCTGGGATCTTGGTGGGTAGAACAGAGACTGGCAGGGAAGGCTGGCGAGCATGCTGTCCACCCCTCTCCCTACTCCTGACTGTGAGCTCCTACAGGACTGAGAAGTCTGCCGTCTGATCCCTTGCTCCATGTAGTGTGACACCAAGTGGCTGGGTGACAAAGTCTGGCTGAGGAACAGATTATGAGGCCTTGGGTAGGTAGAGTTGACTCATGGGTCACACTCTTCTCCACCAACCAGCCTGATCTTTGCTTTAAGGTGAAAACACAAGACCTCTCTTCCAATGCTGTGATATTTTACTTTGGCTGGACCAGCCTAACCGGCTCCCATCAGTTGCTCAGCTGTGAAAACCACAACCAGTAACAGCACCAACCTCCACAGTGCCTACCCAAGACCACACATCTCTTTCACGTGGGCTTTATGCTTGAAAACAAACAAATAAGCAAGCAAATAGCTTTAGCCCTGAGGGGACTTGAAGTTGTCCCCAACAGCTCTTCCCATGGAGGCCTCAAAGACACCATTCTCCTGAATTCTCAAGATAAGCCAATGACTCAACACTCTTGACCCTTTGTCGACTTATCCAAACCAGAACTGGAAAGATATGGAGGCCTCAAAGACACCATTCTCCTGAATTCTCAAGATAAGCCTCAACACTCTTGACCCTTTGTCGACTTATCCAAACCAGAACTGGAAAGAGGCAGATGTGTGGGCCCCCTCAGACCCAGCTGTGATTTCCTGTTTGTTCTTCCCATTAGTCTCAGATGCCTCTCAAGTGTCTACTAGCCTGGTTTGGCAGAGCAGAGAGCCCACAGGCCAAATCCAGCCTGCACCTGTTTTGAAAATAAAATTTCACTGGAACAGCGCCACACTCACTCAGACTCTCCAGACTGCTTCCTGCCCAGCAGCAGAGATGAGAAGCTGCCCAGCACAGGGCCTGAGCTACTCGCTTCTCCTGACAGGAATGAGTGTATGCTCGATTGCACTCAGGAACATCTACAGAGGTCCAGGGCTTCAGGAATGGGACAGGGAAATGCTTTCTCAATGACAAGTGTTTTCTCGGGTTACCTGATGAAACACAGCTGCTCACACTTGGGGGTCTCACTCTTAAAGAAACAGGGTCATTCCCTCACTGACCTACACTGCTAGACCACTTTCTTGGATGCTGAAATGCAAAAGGATTGAGGCAGAGTTTTCATTGTTTTGGGCCCTCAGTCCTCTGGTATAAACATCCCAGGTAAATGCCTACCCCCACTCTGGTTACACAGGCAGCCAAAGCAGACTGGATCTGATGCTTCAAGTTGGAGGCCTGGGCACTGATGCTAGCTTTCAAAACGTTGTTTGAAAATCAATAAGAGGGATTCAAGAGCAACAGAAGGGATGGTAAACCAGTAAAGTGACCCCACAGCAGGAACCAGAGGAGAAGCTCATGAAACGATTCCAAAGAAAAAACCTAGGTCCCCACCCATGGCCCTGATTGTTTAATCAGGACCTGAGGATTTTGATCAAGGACTTCTTACAAGCATAACCTCATTTAATCCACAGGAAACTTCCAAAGGAGATGTGACAGTTTGTGTTTTAGAGATGATCAAACAGCCTTGGAGAGTAACAAGTTAGCAAGCTCCAGGGAGGAGACCCAGATGCAAACTCACCTCGAACCCTGAACCCCAAGTTTGAGTGCTGTGCAAATAGTGCATCTCAGTCTTGAGTCGCTAAGAACCCTGTGCCAGCTGCAGAGCTGGGAGCCAAGTTCTTAAGCCTGTAATACTAATTATAGACCTACACTGTCCTGGGACATCAGCCCAGGGGAGGGACAGGGGCAAGGGCATTTGCCAAGTCTGCTGCACACTTTTTTAATTGGGGTTTTGTTTCTTTTCTTGATTTTTTTTAAATTAAAATATATTTACTTCATTTCCCCATTCCCTTTCCTCCATCCAAACCCTTCCGTACCCCTCTCCCTCTCAAATGCATGTCCTGTGTGTGTGTATGTACACTATACATATATACATATGTACACACACATATATATATGCATACACACACATACACAATCTACTTTATCCATTTAGCGTTGCTTGTATGTATGTGACATCCAGCTGACCACTTAGTATTGGATAACCAATTAAAATGCTTGTTGCTGGTGAAAATTAATTCTCCCATTCCCAATAAACCATTTTGAAGACTTTTTAAAGC